GGTCTTGTTGTCAGGGCGACTTAGTAGAACGCACCTAGTCCGAAGTCGTCTGTCATAGTAGTTGTCATGACTACCAGCATCGGACAGTGAACTTGTTACATTCTCAAACGTTTCGCCGGCATCGTATTCGGCATCATCGGTGAGTTTTGCTGTTCTCCGCACCGGGATTGATAGTGTAACCGTTTCGGCAGAACGTTGGCCGGGGGATTGACTTCATTTGTCGCTTTGGCAAGTTCGTAGCTTGATGCGAGAATGGCAGCACTCACTGATTCCACTGTCAGATGCTGGGAATCATGACAACTATTCGGCATGCCGGCGAAACGTTTGAGAATGTACCAAGTCCACTGTCTGATGCTGGGAATTATGACAACTACTATGGTAGTCGACGAAACGTTTGAGAATGTACCAAGTCCACTGTCTGATGCTGGGAATCATGACAACTACTATGGCAGACGAATGACGAGTTCGTAGCTTGGTGCGGCGAATGGCAAAACTCACTGATGATGCCGACTACGATGCCGGCGAACAGTTTGAGAATGTATCAAGTCCACTGTCTGATGCTGGGAATCATGACAACTACTATGGCAGACGACTTCGGTCTAGGTCGCCCTGACAACAAGACCAAGTTGCGACAACGAGGTCAACCCACCATATAAGTATACCTTACATTTCCATTGAATTTCACTTAGTAATAAGTAATATAGTCGATTGTTATGGCAAATAAAACTTTGCTTCATCGACCTCCCCACCACAGAATGTGATATGGTAAAATGCCTTGCCTTCCTTGAAATCGCATTTTCTCTGTCACCCTAGAGCACTCGTGGCAACTTGGCTTGGTGGGTAACGTGTCGAGAACCAGTGGCATAGTACAAGTCCCGCTGGGGGTGCAGACAAGACCTAAGCGAGATTGAAACTACAGCCCACCCTTGATGAGAACACCTTTTAGGAAGCAAGGCAATGTGAAATAAAATGAAAACATGAGGCCTACTCATACCATTGTTGGAAAATTCATCTACCAGTTTTTCATCGCTTCAAACGAAATAGGGTGAATATCGCTCTTATGATGAATTAACATTTTCTGGGATCCAGGATTATAGTAAAAATGTATGTCTAAATGCTCTGTCATTCGCTTTTATCTCATCCAAAAAATCTGCTTAGTTCCGTCTGTTCTTTAAATTCAAAGCTCAATTTGATTTGGGCATCTTTTACTTAGCTTTATTCTCCCGCCGTGTTGTTGTAATCTGGTCAGGCCATTCAGTATTTTGGCCTCTTCATACTTCCAGGTGTGCACATTAATTACTTTCATCTACCAATTCTATTATTTTCCCTATCACTAAGCCTATGATACATAGACGAGGTTAAAAGTGAAGTCTACTCTGGATGTGAAGTCTTTTTTTGGAAGCAAGGCCAAGTGAAATTCAATGGAAGCTTACGGCTTAATTACAGTATTGTTGTGAAAACCCCAATTTTAGTCCTTATACGACCTTAAGCCATCTAGGGTGACTAATTTCTCGCATAATTTTCTTCCATTTCTAACTTTTTTCAATCGCCATAATATGTGAATACTCAAGTAAGTTTTGTCGTTTTTGTCCGTTTCTTCATGGAAGTAAAGTAGATTATGTGAAATTGGAAAATTTTTAATTGCCTATCTTTAGCCAGCAACTTAAACCTTTTTGTACAAATTTGTTTCCCTCGGGAATTTTAAGGCCTGATGCATTTAAAAAATGACTAAATTTCGCTTCTTTACATGCAACTTTATTCAGACGAGATCTGCGCTTATTATGATTGCATGTCTCAATTCATCGACTTGGCTATCCATCATGTCTTTTGGTTTAAGTGTGCTTTGGTCCGAGTCTGACTCAGTAATGTCGACACCGTTAAGATCGAGACTGAAATCGCTGAATGGTTGAATAGCCAAATTTTTCAAGACTATTTTTAAGGTATCCTTCTTGGCTGCCTGACATAGGCCCTGATTCCGAATGTTTAATCCGTGGCTTTTTATATGTATACCACTATTAATATATTTTTATTTCTAAAATAATCGAAGTTATATCATTATTACTTATGTAGGCCACTCAAATATTATTTTAACTCTTTTTTTTAAAATCCAATGCGTCATTTTCCCTTGTTTTCTTGTTGTTTTTTTTACTCCTATTTTAACTGTCTTGCCGGCCGTTAGCTTTTGGCACACATCATTTGTCTTGCATTTGCACATCTTGCTGGTGTCCTAATTGGTCGTCGAGGCATCGCCACACGACGATTTTATGTGTTCCAACGGGCCTGGCGTTGCCAACTGGGCCAAGAGCGGCTGCGAGCAACTCGTCGCCAAGTGGTTCGTCTCTTCTAATCCCTAATCCAATTTTTATATCCATCGTTTGCTTTACATTCTGCCTGATTCCCTTAGGTTCCGGAAGTTGCGATGCTGATTGGATCGAATGTCAACTTGATAATTGTTTATGAAAGGGCTCATTTTACTCTCTCATTGTTGAGGCAAAACTAATAATTTTCAGATATAAACAATTTATAAGACAGCTGATACGAATGTATGTACTCTGCAAGGTCTGATGAGGGATTGGTCATCGTTAATTGACGTTATTCCCTGGTTTATCCCCGCTTCATGTTACGTGTGTCCCTGTATTTTGCCCATTTAAAACGAATTAATAATTTCATGTGCTAAGAGGAACTTTTTGAGCTGTCGTTGCAACAGTTGACTTTACATAAAAAATTTCCCGTTGGCTATCGCATGTTTTGACGTATTTCATCATTTGTATATCAATGTTTCAGGGGCCGATATTTTAG